TCAGCGGCTGGTGGTATGAGCTGGACGTGCTTCTATAGCTTTTATTTCATCTGGTTCTGGTAAGTCACTCATTCTTGTGGTAGTTGGATGGGAACCTGGAAAGGCTCTTAGAGATCATTTGTCTAACTCCTCATTTTACAAATGGGGGAAACATAAGTCCTCAGAGGGTAGTGAAAAACAAAAACAGCCATGTTCTCCAGCCCAGCATTTCCAGAGGAAATAAAGAGAGGTTCAGAGTAGAGAGGTGGCCACTTCAATCTCTGTCTTGTTAAGTTTCTAGAGTAAACTTCTGTTCCTTCCCATTTATGATTTGCCAGCTCTCTGCATTTTCTTGACAGATTCCATTTGTTACTGCCTACAGCCTGCAAGATGACCACAGTGTAGCCTCTAGCTCTCCTTGCATATCTCTGAACAAAACACCCAGTCTTCAGGAAGGAATGCAAATACTTCTCCTTGACTACCCATCTTAGGTTCAACAGCTTCCTTTTTTTTTTTTTTTTCTTCAGTACTCCCAAGGCCTTTCCTGAAATAGGAGCATTTTTAAAAATATTTTGTTAAATTGGGGTCTAGTAGCCCTTCTTGATTTATTTTTTCAGTAAAATTTTAAGGAATGCTTGTGTGCCTAAGTTACAGCTGTAGCAGCGGGTTCCATATTTATTATTCACAGCCACCTCAGAACTCTTCTTCCAGGGCCATGGTTAGAGTTTCACTGGGCTCTGGCACAAGAGCCCAGCAGGGATAATGCTGTCCCAGCCAAAGTAGCAATGTCCTCTCTCTTGTTCTCTTTTCCTTTCCACCTCTAAGTCACTCAGACCTAAATCAGGTATGTTCCAGTTTCCTCCATGACATGAGCCTCAACCTCCTGTCAGCTCCAGAGAAGTCAGAGCGGCCTTCCCAAGAAGGTAAGATGTTGCAGCTTGACCACTCATCAGGTTCATGGTGGTCTTTTACAGTCTGGATGCCTTTGTTGATAGGCTGGGTAGTGAGTCAGTATCACAATAATTATTATCTCTTTGCTAGAAGCTGTCCAGAGGGACCATGAAATCATGGAATGATGGGACTACAGGCTGACAGTTAGGGAGATGAGATCATCGAATCAGGAAGCAATAGAATCCAAGGTTCCTGGACCCTTAGACTCTTAAGGGTTGAGAAGGACTCTAAAGCTTATCAAGCCCAGTTCCTCACCCTGGCCATCTCCTCTTAACCTCCCTCACACCAGACCTTTCCCTCCCTGTTTATTATATTCCAAGACTTTTCAAAATACCTTCAATGGTCTGTTCCATTTTTTTTTGTTTTTCTCATTCAAGAAATATTTCTTGAGCATCTACTGTGTGCCAGATTCTATTCCAGGTTATGGTGACAGAGCTCCAATGTCCTGTCCTCATGGAGTGAGAGAGAGAGACAATAAACACATAGATACAATGTTATAAGTGAATAGGTGCTATGAAGAAATAAAACTGGGCAGAGGGATAGAGGGTGACGGAGGGAGAAGATGCATGTTAGATAGGTGGTCAGGGAAGGCCTTTGTGAGGAGGTGGCATGTTAGCAAAGGTCTGAATGCAACGAAGGATGTACCTGTAGAATCGAGGCAGGGGAATAGCAGATGAGGCCTGAGAGCTTAAGTTTTTCCCCCAGTTGAATATTCATTGAGCTTCTGCTGCATGCCAGGGGAGGCCTAAGTGCTGCTGTGGATACAATAATTATGGTATGTTCTCTGCCCTAAGGAGTTCTTCTGTCCTAGACCTCTTTGGGTATAATATAAAACAATTTAATCATTGTTCTATTCATTCACTTAACAAATACGATACCTTCTTTGTGGGTAAGAGTTGGTGCCGGCCATGTTTCTTTTTTTTACATTTACAAAAATGTGTCATCTCCCCCCACTTCCTAAACCTCTCTTCCTCCTTTGTTTTTTTTTTTTCCCAACATTGTGCTGAGAGAGAAAGAAGCCCAGGCGAACATTTTCATTTCTTCCAACATGGCTTGGCTCCTAATTCTCTCTCAGCCATTCTTCTCTGCTTGGTACCCTGCTCTCTGCCTGGCCAGGTGTGGCCTGGCCTGCAGGGGGACTAGCATGACTGCTGCTGCCCTGGTGGCAGCCTGGGACCACGCTGGCCCCCACGGCACAGCAGCCTCGTGTGCTCAGCAGCGCTGGCCCTGCTGCCGCCGACAGCTCCCTCTGTCTTGGGGAATGGAGGAGCCCCATGCGTCTGCCTCCCTAGACCCTGAGGCCTTGTCCAGTCTCAGAGCGCTGGGAAGAGCATGGATGTGCAGGTTCCTTCCTTCTTCCAGGTATCAGGAGAAAGGGCAGGTGGATGCACGGGACTCGAGGAGATTAGTTTCATTTTTATGATAATGATCATAGCTTGGTGGAAAAGTCACTAAACTTAGAATTGGGAGACCTGACCTGGCTCTGCTGCCAGACTGCTGTGGGGCATTCTCCATTCTCACCTTCCACTTGGCCCTAAGTCCACTGCACCAGCAGGGCAGACTGAACTTGACCTCCAACTTGGCATGCTGCTTTCATTCTTTCATCATCCGACCAGTCTCCACCTGCTGCTGGAAGGATCTATCTGAAAACCCAAGTCTTATCATCCTAACACCCTGGACTTCAGCCACAGTCCCCAAACATCAATCTGTGGGGCACTGTCAGACAGTGATGAAATTTCCTCTCATCCGTGGATATCCTCTGATATGTGGAAAATAAGGGTAATATAGGGAATTTTCTATAAAGTTAACTTTATTCAAAGTTTAAGCTCTGATATCTCTTCCTCTCATACTCTTTTGGTATTAAAATACTCTTTCTTCTCTGAAATGGATTTCATAAGAAATCCATCCTCAGGATAAAATTCAAATTCTTTACTCAGCACTCAAGGTTTTTTTCACACTCTAGCTACTAATTAATTATGTCACACAGTTGCCCAACTCCTGACACTCCACATCTATTCACTGCTGATTTAGTCAGACCGAACTCCTTGCTGCACCTGAAACCTGTCTTCTTATACCTCTGGGCCTCTGAACACCTTGCTTCCTGTGCCCAGGATTCTCGGCCCTCACTTTTCTGCCTGTTTTCTGCTCACCATCCACAGTTCCCTCCTTTTCAAGCTTGGCCTCCCCACCCCAGGCGGTATGAGTCATACCCTCCCCACACTTGAACATGGCACTTGATAATGTCTCCTATAACTGTCCGTCTCCTTGTCTGTCTTTTCCCAGCCACCAGCTCCTGGAGGTACAGGCTGAGTGTCACAGCCTGGCCTGGAGTAGCCACTCGGAACTTTGTCAGTGAATGAAGGAATGTATCCGTGTCCTCACACATGTTACCTTTAGTCTCTCCTGGCAGGCTGACAGCTGCATAAAGGAAGAGGAAACTGATTTCCTTTCATCCTGCATGTACACTGCTAACCTGTGCCCCGCACCCTCTCCATGTGCTCACTCCGGGTGGCGTTCTCCCACACGTTTCCTCCCCAGAGCTCTCTGCAGTGTCCGCGTTCCTGCAGCAGGGGCTGCCCCGGATATGCAGCAGGAGCCCCGAAAGCCTTGCCTTCCTGTCAGATCGCCAGTATGTGGAGGGAAGTGCTCGCCAGGGACAGTACTGCATCCTGCTCCTCTTCTACCTGGCCTACACCCACGGGGACAGGTCAGTGTTCAATGCTGGTGGCTGGCAGTGCGTCCTGGGACCCACATCTGCAGCCTGGTTCAGTTCAATAAATATTCACAGAGCATCTACCCCAAGCCTGGTCCTGGGCACTGGGGACATAGAGATAAGTGAGAAATGGGTTGTATTCCTGAGGAGTCACATACTGGAGAGGGATTAAGGCAGGTGGGTTGTCACAGTGCCGAGAGCAGAGGCCTAAAATACGAATGAGAATTTTTTAATATCCTTAAAAGTATTGTTTGTGCACAGAAAAAATTTCAGTGGTTTACTTTGGTTTTAAGAATTACTTACTTATACAGTTTATTAAAAATTTAAAATCAAAAGACTAATTATTCCTTAAGCGTAAAAAATAATTTTATTGAGGTAAAATTTATATAACATAAAATTAATCATTTTAAAGTGAACAGTTTGGCATTTAGTATAGTCACAGGATTGGGCAACCACCACCTCTCTATAGTTCCAAAGCATTTCCATCACTCCGGAGTAAAATTGTGTACCCATTAAGCATTCACTCCCCATTCCTTCTGCTCAGCTCCTGGCACCAACAATCTGTGTTCGGTCTCTATGGCTTTATCTATTCTGAACATTTCCTATAGATGGATCATACAATAGATGACCTTTTGTGCCTGGCTTCCTCCACTTAGCATAATGTTTTTGAGATTCATCCAGTTATCATAATATTTGTAGCATGTTTCAGTACTTCATTATTTTTCATGCGGCTAATGCAGATGTTCTAGCATCATGTATTAAAAAGTTTTTTTCTGCACTGAATTGTCTTGACACCCTCACTGAAAATCACTTGACCCCTTGTGATTTTTAAAAATTGAGATATAATTGACATATATTAATTCCAAATATACAACATAATGATTGGATGTTTCTATATATTGCAAAATGATCATCACAAGAAGTTTAGTTAATATTCATCACTGCATGTAGTTGCAGTTTTTTTCCTTGTGTTGAGAACTTTTAAGATTTGTTCTCTTAGCAACTTTCAAATGTACGGTGTGGTATTATCCGCTGTAGTCACCATGCTGTACATTATATCCCCAAGATCTATTTATTTTATAACAGGAAGTGTACATTATATCCCCAAGATCTATTTATTTTATAACAGGAAGTTGGTACCCTTTGACCCCCTTTACCCATTTTGCCCACTCTCAGCCCCTCACTTCTGGCAACCACCAATCTGTTTTATCTATAAGGTCAGGTTTTTAAAAAACTTTTTAAAATATTTTTGTTTATTTTTGAGAGACAGAGAGAGACAACACAAGTGGGGAAGTGGCAGAGGGAGAGGGAGACACAGAATCTGAAGCAGGCTCCAGGCTCTGAGCTGTCAGCCCAGAGCCCAACACGGGGCTCGAACTCGTGAACCACGAGATCATGATCTGAGCCCAAGTCAGACGCTTTACCAACTGAGCCACATAGGCGCCCCTGTTTTTTTGTTTTTGTATTTGTTTTTGTTTTTTAAGATTCCACAGATAAGTAAAATCATACAGTATTTTTCTTTCTCTATCTGACTTATTTCACTTGGCCTAAAGCCTTCAAGGTCAATCCATTTTGTTTGCAAATGGCAAGATTCCTTTCTTTTTTTATGGCTGAATAGTATTCCATTGTGTGTATATACATACCACATTTTTTAAAATGTTCATTTATTTATTTTGAGAGAGAGAGAACAAGTGCAGAGGAGGTGTAGAGAGGAGAGAGAGAGAGAGAGAGAGAGAGAGAGAGAGAGAGAGATTGGGAGGGAGGGAGGGAGGGAGGGAGGGAAGAAGAGGGAGATAATCCCAAGCTGTCAGCTTGAACTCACCAACCGTGAGATCATGACTTGAGCCAAAATCAAGAGTCAGACGCTTAACCAACTGAGCCACCCACGTGCCTCACTTAGGTTTTATCTATGTGTTGGCTATAGTAAATAACGCTGCAGTGAACATGGGGGTGGTGCAGGTATCTTTTGAGTTTGAGTAAATACCCAGAAGTTGAATTGCTGGATCATATAGCCAATGATCATATGATCAATTCTATTTTTAATTTTTTGAGGAAACTTCATTCTCTTTTCCATAGTGGCTACACCAATTTACATTCTCATAATAGTGCACGAGTGTTCACTTTTCTCAGCTTCCTTGCCAATACTTGTTTTTTCTTGTCTTTTTGATAATAGTCACTTAACAGGTATAAGAATGTGCCTCATGTGGTTTTGATTTACATTTCGTTGCTAATCAGTAATGTTGAGCATCTTTTCATGTATCTGTTGGCCATCTGTATGTGTTCTTTGGAAAAATGTCTATTCAGATCCTCTGCCCATTTTTTAACTGGATTTTTTTTTGCTATTGTGTGAGTTCTTTATTGTAAATATTCATTTTTTAATCAGATATATGATTTGTAAAGATTTTTCCCCATTCAGTGGGCTGCCTTTTCATTTGTTGATGACTTCCTTTGCTGTCCAGAAGCTTTTTAATTTGAAATAGTTCCATTTGTTTATTTTTGCTTTTAGTATAAGATCTAACAACGTCCTCACCAAAACTGATGTCAAGTAACTTATTGCCTGTGTTTTCTTCTAGAAGTTTTATAGTTTCAGCTGTTAACATTCATGTCTTTAATTCATGTTGAGTCAATTTTTTGTGTATGGTATAAGATAGTGGCCCACTTTTATTTTTTTGCATGTTGCTGTCCAGTTTTCCCAGCACCATTTACTGAAACAAACATATGCTTCTTTTTTTGCAGTATACAGGATGGGATATTATATAAAGTATTCAACTTCCCTTTTAACCTAACAATATATCTTGGACCTCTTGTCATGTTAGTACATGTATTCATAGGTCTACCTCATACTTTTGGTAGCTGTATAATATTTATATTATGGTTATTACCCATTTTATTTTTATTTTTAATTAAAAATTTTTAAGTTTACTTTTTGAGAGAGACAGAGACAATGTGAGTGGGGGAAGGGCAGAGACAGAGGGAGTGAGAGAATCCCATGTGGGCTTTGCACTGTCAGCACAGAGCCTGATGCAGGCTCAAACTCATGAAACTGGGAGATCATGACCTGAATCGAAACCAAGAGCTGGATGCTTAACTGACTGAGCCACCCAGGCGCCCCTTTTATTTTTTAAATAAACATTCTATTTTGGAATATTTATAGATTTTAGGAAAGTTGCAAAGAATACAGAGAAATCTTCACTAATTTTCTCCTAATATTAACATAACTGTGATACATTTATCAATCTAAGACACCAACCTCGGTACAACCTTGGTAATTCTTCCAGTTTTTTTTTTTTTTTATTGTAAGATACACAAACATAAAATTTATATCTTAGCCATTTTTAGTGTACTGTTCACGGGTATTAAGTACATTAATATTGTTGTACTACCATCACCACCATTCATCTCAAGAACTATTTTCATCTGCAAAAGCAAACTTCTACACCTGTTGAACAATAACTCTCCATTTCCCTTTCCCCAGTCCTTGGAAACCAGTATTCTACTTTCTGTCCCAATGATTTTGACTACTCTAAGTACTTCATATAAGTGGAATCATATAGTATATGACAGGCTATTTCACTTAACACGATGTCCTTAAGATTCATCCATCCTATAGCATGTCAGAATTTCCTTCCTTTTTTATGCTGAATAATGCTTCATTTTATGTGTATACCACATTTTGCTTAAAGGTTTGTTTGTCAATGGACACTTGGATTGCTTCCACCTTTTGGCTATTGTGAATAATGCTGCTGTGAACATGGGTGTACAAATATCTCTTTGAGACCCTGTTTTCAATTCTTTTGGGTATATATCAGATTGTTGGATCATCTGGTAGTTATGTTTTTAATTTTTGAGAAAATGCTGTGCTCTTTTTCACAGAGGTATACTATTTTACATTCCTGCCAGCAGTGCGCAAGGGTTCTGATTTAGCTCATAGTTTTGATATGCATTTCCCTGATGATTAGTGATGTTGAACATCTTTCCATTTGCTTTTTGGCCATTTCTATATCTTCTTTGGAGATAAGTCTGCTCAAGAAGTCCTTTGCTCATTTTTTATAGCTTTTTCTTTTTAATGTTTATTCATTTATTTAGGAAGAGAGAGCATATACTCGCATGCAATAGAGAACAGGAGGGACAGAGAGAGAGAGAGAAAATTCCAATCCAAGCAAGTTCTGCTTGGGATTCACAGAGCCTCTCTGTCAGCAGAGAACCCAATGTGGGGCTTGATCTCATGAACCTTGAGATCGTGACCTGAGCTGAAATCAAGAGTCGGATGCTTAACTGACTGAGCCACCCAGGCGCCCCATGCCTTTTATATTTTACAAAAAAAAGTCGGTCTCTTCCTCATTCTCATCTCCCTTGCACGTACAAGCATAGATGTCTCTTTCCCCAGAAAGTAGCCCATTAAACACACAAATGTTTAATGATAAAGAGCAATGGACTGGCTGCCAAATCAGGGACTCCTAAACCCCAGTAGTAGCATCCTTCTCTTTATCAGCACTAGTACAGCTGGCAGACGCTTGGCTTCCTAGGTGTGAGTGAGGAGTCTCTGGCCCCTATACAGAGCCTGCTACAAAGCACAGAACCATGTGCTGCGCGTATATGACAATACTTTGTAAGCATATATAGCATGCTCTTTGTGCAAGGTGTCCTTAGGCCGTAGACATGCTAGAGCAGGAGGACAGAAGGCAGAGAGGATATGGCAAGATAGGATGTGGCGAGGCAGGACGGCCGTCTCTTTCTTTTTCACTCAGACTCTCCTCGGTTGGCAGGTTTGTCTCAGAGGCGGAATTATCTGTGGCTGTGCAAAGCTTCCTCCTGTCTCTGCAGGACCAGGACGAGCGCCCTCCACTGACGGTCATCGGGGCCTCCATCTATCTGCTTGCGGTGGGCCGGGCCAAAGCCGACGCGCTAGACGAGGTATGGACCAGAAGGCGTGCGGCTCTTCTTCCTGCTGCACCTCTTTACCTCATGGCTCCTTGAGAGACCGTGATGATATATATAGAGAGAAAGTAGATGGGAGAGAGAGAGTCTTGGTGGAATGGGGAGGGGCAGGGGGTGACACATTCAGAGCCTATGTAATTTAGCTAATTCTTTCAACAATCCCGAGCAGCAAAGGTTATTTTTCCATTTTTTACAGGTAAGAACATCAAGACTTGGGTTAAAGTAACTTTCTCTAGGTCACACAGTTAATTGATGGCGGTGCCCGATCTCCAGTTTAGACTTGACCAACTCCCAAGGCTCTTTTCTTAGTACCACCTCTGGTTTGAGCAGGATGAGACAGGGATGTGAGGTATATCCTTCTGTTAACAGTTTATCAAACAAAGTGGTTTGCTGGGACCCAGTCATTGTTAATCAGGATGACTTTGGATCACTTTGATGATGGTTGTGTGTATATAAGTTTTCTCTTTCCAGATTCTTTTTAATGTTTATTTCTGAAAGAGAAGGAGACAGAGGGTGAGCAGGGGAGAGGCAGAGAGAGAGGAAGACACAGAATCTGAAGCAGCCTCCAGGCTCTGAGCTGTCAGCACAGAGCATGACATGGGGCTTGAGCCCACAAACCATGAGATCATGACCTGAGCCAAAGTTGGATGCTTAACTGAGTAAGCCACCCAGGTGGCTCTTTCCAGATTCTTGATAAATTATTATGGACCAAGGATTATGTCTAAGCAATCACTAAATCTCTCCCTTGTTTCATTGATTCTACTCCCTAGATATGAACACTTCAACCTCAACCTAAGGATACCCTTTCTTCACTGACTAGTAATTTCGCCTCTTTTTTTGAAGGTTTTTTTTTTTTTTTTAATTTAAGTAATCTCTATATCCAACACAGGGCTCGAACTCATGACCCCAAGATCAAGAGCCACATGTTCCTCTGACTGAGCCAGCCAGGTGCTCCATAATTTTGCTGCTTTTTGATTACTTTTGGGGCAAACATGATGCAAGCAGACCTGGTTTAATTTGAATGGAAGCAGAAAGTTGTAGTAGAAGTGCGTGAGTTTTCAAGTAAGGTAGATGTAGAGATACAATATCCTGTTGTCTCTTCTTTTGTGATATTTGAAGTTATTGTGATCATTGCTTACTACTAATTCATTAGAGATTGTGAAATAATATCCTAATTCTGTCATTCAACTTTTATTTATTTAAAATGTTTATTTATTTTGAGGGAGAGGGAGAGAGCGTGAGGGAGGGAGGGGCAAAGAGAGATGGAGACAGAATCCCAGGCAGGCTCTGCACTGTATGTACAGAGACCAGTGTGGGGCTCAGTCCCATGAACCGTGAGATCACGACCTGAGCCGAAGTCAGGAGTTGAACACTTATCTGACTGAGCCACCCAGGCTTCCCTCATCAACTACTCAGTTACTCTGAATGGGAGATTGTATAGGAAGCACAGGTGGAAGGTTTGATTCTTTCCTTTTAATTACAGCTTTTAAAAAAGGAATTGGTT